GTGTTTTCGTTTATTTTAGTTAAAAAATACTTTATTTTGTTCTGTTTTGGTAGATTATTGTAATATGGTGTTTGTTTTTAGACAAAAAATGGACAATGCACGTGATGCACTAATTGAGTCGTGGCTGGCTGAAGTTGATGTCGGAAATGATGTTTATGAAGCTGAATCGAGCTCCGACGAAGAAATTGATAATTTAGAAGAGGAAGACCATCAATCGGAATCTGAGCAAGAGCAAGATATACCAGGTGAGGGATCTGACGAAAGTTCTGAAGAAGATAATCCACCTCAGCAACGTCGCCGACGCACGGACTTTTACAGGGGAGTAGATGATACATTATGGTCGAAAACTGTCCCCCTAAACAGAGGTAGAACACGAAGCCATAATATAGTGTTTGTACCCCCAGGGCCGAAAGGAACAGCTCGCCAAAAAACAACCCTAGAAGACTGCATGTCACTGTTTTTTGATGATCATATCATCCACCTCATTACCAAATATACTAATAAGAAAATTGATTATATCAAGGAGAAATATAGAAGAGAACGAGATGCTAAACAGACCAATGAAACTGAAATTAGAGGTTATATAGGGATATTACTAATGGCTGGAGTAGTTGGGAAAAGGAAAAGTACTGCTATTATATTTGAACATGTAAAACACACAGGGATCGACGCCATATATTTGACAATGTCGGAGAAAAGGTTTAAATTTATAACAAGGGTATTACGCTTTGATGATATTGAAGACCGCCAAGACCGTGCCAGAATTGATAAATTAGCCCCGGTAAGAGAGATTTTTGAATTGTTCCTTGCAAATTTTCAAAAATATTTTATTCCTAGTGCTGAAATGACTTTGGATGAACAGCTGGTAGCTTTTCGAGGCCGCTGTCCTTTCAGGCAATATATTCCAAATAAACCGGCAAAATACGGGGTGAAAATTTTTACGCTAGTTGATGTCCACTACCCTTACACATATAATTTAGAGATATATGCTGGCCAACAACCAGATGGTGCTTTTCGCCTGAGCAATGAAAGACATGACATTGTTATGAGAATGGCACAGCCTGTCCTTGGCAAAAATATGAATATCACCATGGATAACTGGTTTTCTTCACTTCGAACTGCAAAACAACTTTTCGAAAACGGTACAACTATGGTCGGGACGGTACGGAAAGATAAACGAGAAGTCCCTCGGGAATTCCGTGTTGCAAGAGGAAACCCACTACATTCTTCCAAATTTGGGTTTCACCCACCATGTACACTGTTGTCTTATGTGGCAAAACCCAATAAAGTTGTTATTATGATTTCGACGATGCACAACGATGCTACAATTGATGAAGACTCTGGAGATAGTCGAAAGCCAGAAGTTATAACTTACTACAATAGGACTAAGAATGGAGTCGACCTGGTGGATAAAATGTGTTCCATGTATGATGTAGCGAGAAACTCAAGAAGATGGCCTCTTACAGTTTTCTTCCGCTTGCTGAATTTGAGTGCACTCAATGCATTGTGCATTTACACGGCAAACAAAAATTATGAACATGTCAGCCGACGTGAGTCCCTTATTGACTTGTCTCTGGCATGGATGAAACCACTAGCGCAGAAGAGACTGGAAAAAAAAACGTTGCCAAGAACACTCACAATAAAAATCAAAGATTTTCTTGGTATTACGTATGCAGAAACTCAACCCACTACCTCGCAAGGTACATCGAGCAATGTTGTGCGCCGTTGCCATGACTGTGGAAGAGCGCGCAACAAAAGTACTAGAAAGATGTGCACCAAGTGCAGTAAGTTTGTATGTGGAGATCATTTAAAGATTATGTGTCTGTCCTGTGCAGAAAACAACATTTAGATGTAAATTTAACTATTTTTATAAATTGTGATGCTAATTAGAACAATCCATGTGATTTTTGTGCCATTTTAGAGAAGATTTTTTATTATGTTGATTATTTGTAACACAGAGGTTGTGATTTAATTGTGATAATTATTTTTAAAAAGAGAAAACTGTACTGATTCTATTTTTATTTAATTAATAAAAGTTTATGAATAAATCTTTTGTTTTTTTTCAATTTGTATATGGACTACGTATGTAGTCCACGCGACCACTCATGAAACTTTTAGGGGCGCGACCACTGCAGGGTTAATTGCTCGCTCGACTATCAATTTATGGCTATTGTGAAGCCATGTAAATCTGTAAGTAGTTTAAAAACTAGCCAGTAATCGCTTAAAAAGAACAATCAATTAATAAATTAGGTAGTATTTGTAAATTCTTTTAAATTAAAACTAGACTAATCTTTATTTATTTTTTATTCAATTTTTGTGCGCGACAAGATTTTTATTAATTGATTAATGAAAATCTCATCAATGTGATTATGAATGCAAAGGAGTTCTCAAGTTTTAGATAAATTTCGATAGTTCTAACATTTTCGTTTACAAAGGTAGAAAGGTAGAAAGGTAGAAGAGGTAACAAAAGTTAAAAGTTGGCAACACTGGTTCAATCGACAGAAAGGGACGCAGCTATTCTGTACGTTGGACGGGATCGTAGGTATACCTACGGCGGCGGCGCGGCGATCGGCGCGGTGGGGCGCCGAGCCGCTGCGCCGTGACCGCGGTGCGGTGAGTTCAAACGACTCGCGCTAGGTAGAAATTGAACAGCTGATTTCATGCGTAGTTCTTTAGAGAATTCACACAACCATTGCGTATTTTTTTGTTTTAGCTGTGTTATTTACATTAATGTTATTCTTCATACATAGAATGTAATTATACATTGAAATAGAGGTGTAGGAACTGAAAAAACGAAAAAAAAATTGAAAATTTTCCTGAAAGAATTTTCACTGGAATATGATTCAGAATAAGGAGCTGAATGCACCCTGTTAATTTGTGGAGGGCTGTCCCTTACACCCTGTATAAGTGAAAGAATTTTAGAAATCAGACCAGCCGTTCCAACGATTATCCCCTACATACAAACTTACAAATTTCACCTCTTTACTAACTAGAAACGTGTTAATATTGAATTGAGGCTTGTTATGATACTTACAGAAAATACAATCTGTAGATTTATTGAGTACCTAATACCAGTTGACAGTTACAAATCCAATACGTGTTATGTTCGCAAGGCTTACTATGTCATAACAGAAAGGGCAATTTTCCTTATCCTAACGGCAAATTTTGGACCGTACTTGAAGAGTACTCAAGTTTACTCTATTGCTCATTCGCTGATTTTCCTCGGGCCCTGCTTATTCATGTGAGCAACTGCCTACTAAATACACTCTCATCTTGAGAATTTCTTGAGAAAATGATCATTGTAAGGGTACCTTAAGCTTTGTATAAAAACGAAAGAATAGGTATTGTTGAAGTACATTTGTAAAGGCAAGTAATTAGTTGGTTTTCCGTTTTTTATTTTCTAATAAAACTCTCCTTTCTTCCAAAAAAATCACAGTATAAATGTGTACGTACCAGATGTTTACTCGAGAAAATTGTAGATCATAAATAAATTAGACACACAATTTGTGTTGCTAAAGGCTGATTTTTCAATAGTCAGATAAATGTTATCTCCGGAATAAAATTGTTGCAGTCACTGTCTTATACAAACATTCTAACGCGACAGAATCATAATTATTCCCTAGGCAACTTTTATCTAAGCCTTAAAAAATCAGCCCTAATAAATTTATATTTTAATTACTGTAGCAATTACAATAATTATCATTCACCGGGCTATATTCCATTCGAGTTAGGATGTAATAAAAACAACCTTGCAACTTCAATCTGTTAATATACCCATTCTAAAACAAAAGAAAAGTTAAGATAATCCCCAGCTGACCTACAAAACCACATTATGATTCTAAGAACGCAGAACCTCAAACTACGTTTTACAAAACTTTATGAGAAAGAGCGCATTATGAAGACCATTAGACGGGCGGCAGATAGCCATTTTGCACAAAAATGGTAATTATTACCATCGTTTCAAACGAGGCTAGAATTTTAAATAACTTCTGAATGCCTAGGGCGACTTTTAGGTTAGCACGATTAACACTTATATAAAATACGTCCTTCTCTCTGATTGGCTTGCTCCAAGTTAACACTTAACTATACTGCTGAAATAAATAACCACTGAAGGGACGTTACAGAGCCGATATTCAGCGTGTGTTGCGGGCAAGAACAATGATTTACCGTAGCCTCGGCATAGAGTAGGAGAAGGCACGAAGGAGTTTTTAATCAGTAAAAACTGACAGGTCATTTGATGAACTTCCCCTCACAAAAAAGCCGCTGAAATAAATTCAATCTCTTTTCGCATCTCCTTTTAGTTTATAAAGAATCCACGTCTTATAAAACTAGGCATAAAGAAAGGGCTATTGTAAGGTTTGTCGATAGCTCAGTGCCGCCATTAACTAGTTGAGATCGAGTCAGTTGTTTAGCTTTTAAAGTTAAGTGAGTGCCGTCAACCGAATAATTGGAAAGTTAACAAACAACCAACCGAGAAGTTCTGCGCCTCGTGTTTAGTTTCAATGTTTTGTTTATACATATATACATAGTATCTACTAACGAGTTCATTTATAAGAATTTGAAGCGTAGAAAGTTCTAAAGAAATTGTTACTTTAGGTAATGATGTGTGTGTTTAAGAGTAGCCTTGTAAATAACTAAAGAATAGCAACAAGTTAAAGTTGTCAATAAAACTATGAAACATCAATGAACTTATTTTATGTAAATATGCTTTTATACGTCAACATTATGTAAAAATCTAGACGACTATTGTGCAATTACTTTTTATCAGGAGGCAAACCACATAAAATTGCTTTTGATGAAGATGTCAGTCTAGCTTAACAATTGTGAACAATTTTTCGTCAATCTAACTTCAAAATCTGGTATTGTCAGCAACCTTATGCTCACAGTTCTTATCGTTTGTCCTCAGAACCTCCCTCCCAGTGGCTCAGTTCAGCCGCGGCGACTTCTCCCTCTGGTCTGTGCTGAAGAACTGCGTTGGCAAGGAGCTCTCCAAGATCACCATGCCGGTGGTGTTCAACGAACCACTGTCCTTCCTCCAGCGCATGCTGGAGTATCTGGAGTATGCCCATCTGCTGCGCATGGCGTCGGAGCAAACCGACCCTGTGGCTAGGATGGAGTATATTGCTGGTAAGATATTTTAGAAAACAGTGTTTTATTTTTTTATGTAATAGATCGGCAAATCGGTAGACGGATTACCTGATGGTAAGCAATCAGCGCCGCCCATGGTCACCCGCAACGGAGGAGTTACGAGTGCGCTGTCAACCTTTTAGGGATTAGGGATTGAGGGAGGTGAATGATTGGGCCTCCGGTAACCTCACTCACACAGCGAAACACAACGCTGCAATTTATTACGGAATTTGTCAACAACTTTAGGATTTTCTAGGGCGCGTTAGACTTTAGCTTTCTTATGTTTGTATGTGTCTACAGTCGATCCTTAATTACAGGAGTTGCCGCGGTTTTGGGATGTTATGGCTTGGTCGAAAAAAAAATCTTATTTCAATGCAGTAACGATTAAATTAATAAACAGAATTCGTAACTATCATAAGAAAATACCTTTTTCTTTTTTCTTTCATTCACACACTCATATTATCTACATTATTCAGATTTTCCTTATAATAAAAAAAATCTTTAAAATTATTATTAGAAAGTTTACCTTCATATCATATTACGACCTAGCAACTATCTATTAGGACTAAAACGCCATTAGCGTAACTCATTAGCTCGCTAACAATCTGCTCGAGCTTCATAAGAGTAGCTCTATCCCTACCTATGTACTTATATTGAAAGTAAATCAAGCCAACAAGTGGCCACTTATGAGGCACTCCGCAGAGAGCACTCCACTGTCGAGTTAGGATAAAAAAACAACCTGGATCCTAGCAAAAATAACGTTATGGGAGCTAAGTGCTTCTGAGAGAAAACAGCGTTTCTATTTCAAAAACCTCTTTGGAATGTACGTATGAATTTAATTTTGTAGTTGAGGCCGGTAATTAGTTTGGGAGCTTTTAAAATGAGAGTGTTTTTCGTCAGCTGTAGTAAAGTGGTTAGTGAATATACAGTTTTTGAATATGGGGTACTTTTTCGTCACGTTTTATAGAGTGGATGGTGAATATATAGGTTTTTTGAACATGTTGTTTGATAGACTTTTGTGTGTTTTTAAAATTCGGACTTTATATTTTTATCTATATGATTGAAAATGTCTTTTTTCTTTAATGTTTCGACAATCCAATGTTATGCTGCGTTATCATTCGATCAAAATACGAAAATATAATGTAGTGATGTCTTAAAATTTCTCGATGCTTAAAACTAGTAAAGAATCTTAAGTCCATGCAATAATGGCACATCGTGGAAAGTAAAAAAGGTTTTATGTATTTCACTTAACATTTTCAAGAAATGTGTAATTACATTCAGTTTTGTTTTACCAAAGTTCATCATCATTTTCTAATAAATTCGATATCTCACCCTTAATTACCACCTACGGGCTTTACTTCAATGAAATACAATTACCGACATTTTGTCAAATAAGAGTAAAGACGACATTTATAAACGAGATGGGAAGACAGTATTCTAGTATTTTGTTACAAATACACCAACATTTTCGAAGCAGAAAGCACCTTGTTATATTTTATTATTCTACCTGAATATAATTTAATCTGTCAATTTTTGCTTTTGTTTCTTCAGTAATAAGGTTGGTTTTAGTTTTTTTTCTTTAGTTAAGATGTCTCATTTGTTGAGGACTAGAAAGTGCTATGTCTAGCAATTTCCTACATTATTTCTAAGCCCTAGCTTATAAGGATAGAGCTAACAAAGTAGATGATGGGTATCTAGCTACTAAAAAAAAAATAGTTACAGTTTGGAATAAAGTTTTTGATAACTAATACAGAGTAGAAAATAACTAGTGTGTTCACTGATAAATGTTTTTAATTTATTATTTGACATTCCTTTCTAACCGATTTAAAAATGGAAGGCGTTTTAAGAAGGAGGTTCTCAAACCGCCGCATTTTTCGTTGTTCATTTATTCATATTCCCCATAGTCAATTTTTAATAATTTTTAATTTTATTGCTTTTATTTTGAAGTTAGTTTAATTATTTCTTTGGAAATTTTGTTTTAAATCTAATTGAAATGAAATGAATAGTTTAATTGATCGAATATTGTGGGGAGCCAATACGAGTGACGACTTGTAGCTCAACGAGGGCATTTGTGGAATGGACTTCTTCTGGCTATTGATGAAATTTATTCTTCGAAACTTATCCTACATTATTATACCACACACCATATTCAAGATAAACAAAATCATAATTCCCTATAAAGGAAAACAATAAAATGGAATTATGTCGGCTCTGTACATCAGATTAGTAGGAACATTTGTGCTGGCTTATTGTCCCTCGCTTGTTGATTCGATCTTTGTATTATGAGATTAACTTGACGTTGTTTCTTTTTACCAAATATGTTTGAAACGGTAAATATTGGTATAAGGAATTTATTTATTATTATCATGTGACTATTTATTATCATCGTTTTTGTTTGAAGGAGGAGGATTAATGATTTATGACTGTTGGTTAGTTATTTGTATTTCTTTATGAAATAAATTAGTTTAAGAGATATATTTTTTTAAAAATTATTGGGTTGATGTTATTTGTATGACGCGTTAAAAATACCTTTCAATCGTATTACAATACGTGTGCGAACGCCGGTGTTCGATTGGAGTTTGATTAATTGAGACATCTTTTTATTTAGTAACTACTTAATCAGATTAACTACACAGTAAAGCTCATGCTTAAAACATCATGTTTGATAAAAGAAAAATATTTCTCTTTATATTTGACACGACGCGACGTTCAAAAGGTCATTTATATGTAATAACATAAATTGGATCATGCGAAAGGGATTGTCCTAATATGATTTGACGTGAAATTTCTCAATTCTACCCATAATTATAATTGTATTAGAAAATAATTGAAAGTGGAATGTAATTAGATTGTAACTTATTACAGCGTTCGCGGTGAGTGCGTTGGCGTCCAACTGGGAGCGTCTGGGCAAGCCGTTCAACCCCCTACTGGGGGAGACGTACGAACTTGAACGTCCAGAGTTCAGGGCGGTTTGTGAACAGGTTAGTTTAAGTATTAATTAGGATATTGTTAGAAGATTATTATTACTATTTTTATAGGATAGGACTCCCAAGGTGGCGACGGACGACTTAATAGTAAACAAATAGCAACACCAGAGTGGTCACTGCGTTGCAGTTTTGGAGTTAGTTATTTAAGAATCGGAGCAATTGAGGATAAGGGCTGGAGTAAGGTTTGGGCCTCCATTATCCTCACTCACACGGCGATATATAACGCATGTGCTGTTTGACTTTGAGGCCATGGTCTCACTCTGGTCTAAACATGGCTCTCCCACACTTTTCAGAATTAGGTTTTTAATATTTACTAGATAATGGTTAACGGCTGCTTACTGACAAGCGACTGACTAGTTTCAAGCTTTGTTAAGGCTCATATTCAGGAGCAGCCTTGCACGACACGTAAAGCGGCGAACGTTGCACGGCTAACTGATACGTTCGGCGCGTTGTTACTTCTTTATATTTCTTCTTTTACCTACATTCTTTATTTCCCCTCCCAGGTATCTCACCACCCTCCCGTGTCTGCATTCCACGCGGACAGCCCGCACTTCGTGTTCCACGGGTCCGTGCACCCCAAGCTGAAGTTCTGCGGCAAGAGCGTTGAGATACAGCCCAAGGGGCATGTCACTGTCGAGTTACCGAGGTAAGAAAACTTGATAGTGTCCTTTTTAATGATAGGCCGGCAAACGAGCTTATGGTTGCTTACCTGATGGTAAGCAATTGTCGCCTCTGATTAAGACCTGAAACACTGGAAGAGTTGCGAGTCCGTTGCTAGCTTTTTAGAGATAAGAGGTTTTGGGGATTTAGGTTTTAAGGGAAGATTTGGGGTTACGGTAACCTCACTGACACAGCGAAACATAAAGCTTTAGTGTAGTGGTGTGCAATTGTACACATCATAGATTATACGAAATCAAGTCTTTGGTTTTAGGAGTCCAGAAGAAACTAAGCAATGCGAAATGAAACGATCCTACTCTTATCCTTTTTTTAAATACTTTGACCTTTTGGTTTCCAATTGGGATTTTGAAAATGCCCAATGGTATATATTATTATTTAATTAGTTCTCTTTGCTTTCTTTATTAATTAGTCTCTAATAGAAGGAGCCTAATAAAATAATTCACTTGCAACGGTTATTAGAAAAACATATTTTTGCCTACAAACCGTTATATGTATAATCTATTGATAATAGCTTTCCGTTCAAATTTGTTTAAATTCTGTACATACACACGCTCAGAATACCAAAGCAAATAGAATGCAGTGGTTCGTTAAAATAAAATAAAAATTAACACAAATGTTTGCGAGGTGGATTGCCACTCCCACAGATAACAAACGATAGTCGTTTTTTATTAACATCCAACGCCAGTTTGAATTTGGAAGTGCAGTTTTTTTTTATTTATTTGTGATTGTGAACAGCTTGTGTACCGGCCAGCAGTAATAAATTGATGCACATTTGTTTTAGGTTTTATTTAAACTACATATTTGCTGAATTGACTCGTGTTCGATTTGTTTAATTGTGTTAATGAATTTTCAGAACTGGAATCGATTGACAGGAAAATTTCGTAATAGAAAAAATATTTAATAAAAAATTAAATACTTAATTTTATTAAAAAAATCTTTATAGAAGGACTTCATATTTACTAGTTATTTATGTTGTTATGTACCTATCTACTGTCTGTCTGAACAAATCTTCAATGTATCAAACTGGAACTGGGAATCTGACAATTCTTTTAGACATCTGCCTACCGTTGAAAATGAACTTTATATCCAAAAAAATATGTTGTTTATTTGTTTCACTACAAGTAATCATTGGCAATGGAAACGGTTGTTAATGTGTGAAGGTTTTTTTACGTAGATATGATTTTTTTTTATTTATACTGAAATATTTGAGTAGGTACTGGCTGGGTCTGTTAGGCTGGCTACTAATGGCGGTACCCCAGGTTTGATACACTAATATTTGTTCCAGGTCTGGTAGTAATTGTTTATAATATATGGGGAAACGTTTTTAATATATAAAATCTATTTATTATTTACAACGAAAATAAAATTAAAACGATTTACGTCACCAGATGGGGTGAGGCCTACACTTGGAGTAACGTGAACTGCTGTGTCCACAACGTGATCGTGGGCAAGTTGTGGATCGAGCAGTTCGGAGCCATGGAGGTTACTTGCCATGGCGGCGCTGGTCTGAAGGCCAACCTCGTGTTTAAGCCAGCTGGATTCAATAACAGGGACCTGCACAGGGTGGACGGATTCATTGTTGATGCTAAGTAAGTATTACTTCTTGTCCTAAATATTACTTGATGTCGTGACCGGGGCTTCCTTTTGTTAAAGGTGATCATCAAATGACTTCTCCCGCCCCCAGGGTTAGGCGAGAGAGAGCGTCAGACTCTTACTGACTAAAAACCGCCTCGTCTCTTTTCCTGCTCTGGGCCGGGGCTGCCGTGCCTCATTGCGCTTGTCCCGTAACCCCGGCTGAACATGTGCCCTATACGGCCCGTCTGTGGTTGTCTATTTCTATTGTCGCGGCCGGGGATGCGACACATTTTTACGCTTGCACAGTGCACACACAACTTCTGCTGTTTTTGTACCGCTTAGCTAAGCCATTTTGTGGTCTGCGTTAAATAGCTAAGAGAAGTGAAAACTATTCCTTTTCTTATAATCTAATGTTATCTCTTGATTTCGTTGGGGGATCCAAGACAGTTGTTAATCTCCCTGGAACTTCAATGTTTCAGTTTTCATGGTTATATTTACCTACAGTAACGTCCTAGCTTACAGACGTTGTAGCGACTTTGGCAGATTTGGGCAGGCTTGTGTGTAGTCTTTCTATTAGGTACCTAATTATCTTGTTCTGTGAATATAGGACTACTACTTACTATGATTGGCTAAAATATTTTATTAAGTTATTGTTTTTTCTCCTCATCCAGCAAGAAACGCATAAAGTTCCTGTACGGTAAATGGACGGAGTATATCAAATGCTGCAGTGCTGCCGCCTACGAGCAGTGGGCCAAAGAGCGCGGGGAGGAGGCTTCCTCTCAAACTCCCTCACACACGCCTAAGAAGATGCTGGCCAAGCTCAACAGCTTCAAAGTTGGAGCACTCCGCTCTATGTCCATTCAAGACGTAAGACTCTTGTTATAATTACTTTTTCTGATAGAAAAATTAATCCTACAATAAATTCAAGGTCTCTTTTACAGAATACAATATCTAAATTTTTTGCTTGAAAATAATTGTTGTTAATTATAAATGCATGAGGATGGAGCAAGTGATAAAAGCAGAATTGTGCTGTTTTATGTTTCTCTGTATTCAATAAGAATCTGTGTACTCCAGAAAGAGCAGAATTAATAATACACTTACAAAACTGTGTAACGGAAGCACATGCCAAAAAATACGAATAATATGGTCAAAGCCATGTAATAGTTAGTTATAGGGAGTTGTTATATATTTTTGGGAAGTTTTCTATCCTGTTTTCTTCGTCTTTATAATTGTGCCTTTTAAAGTATGCATCTGCTCATTCCAGTCAGACGATGCGGAGAACTCGGAAGATGTTCCTAAATCAGACGATACGAATAACATCGACATTGCTGGCTCCGTCACTCTGTGGGAGGCGAGACCGCGGCCAACTACTAGTGCTCAGGTTAGTTCAGTTGTTCGTAGCGACCTATATAAAAATCGACGGATGACGACACTAATCCCAAAAGTCAAAATAATTTATTTCAATTAGATCCTTACAGGCACTTTTGAGCTTCAAACAAAGCTTAAAGATAAATCGGTCAGTCCTCTTAGTAAAGTTATTTAGACTACATCAAGCAAGCAGTGTGCGAATGCAAAATAATATAGAAATAAATCGCAACGTATAACCGTTGTAGCCCGCCATGAAATTTCGTGGTCCTTTTTCCGTTTTCTTTTCTGTTCCCTAAAAACCACAACAGCTCTCATAATTTTAATAAAGAAAGTTGTAAATATATACAAGTTCCAAAAAACTCCCTACTTAATTAGAAATCAATATTACTTACCATGGAATGTCTAACAAAATGTTCTAGTACTACCAATTCACGGAATTCGCGATGTCTCTAAATGAGCTGGAGAGGGACATGAAAGGCCAGCTCTGTCCCACCGACAGTCGGCTGAGGCCTGACATCAGGCTGCTGGAGCAAGGAGACATCGATGGAGCCGCCACTGAGAAGACGAGGCTCGAGGAAAAACAAAGGACTGCTAGGAAACTGCTCAAAAAGTCACCTGAAGCTTGGCAGCCTAGGTAAAGAACTTTTAGAATTATCCTTTTTTTGAACCTTGTATTTTGTAAGTTCTGTATTTAAATCTGGCTACTCTCACGCGGTTTCATTCGCTGCTCCGTTTCTAACGATTGTAGCGTGATGTGTCATAGCCTAAAATCATCCTCGATTTATAGGCTAGCAAACCCATAAAGAATTGTTTAATTCGAACTAGTTTTTGCGAGATTAGGGCGTTCACCCAAACAAACAAGATAAAAAAAAGAACAAAAAAGATGGCTTTATAATATTAGTATAGATTTATTCTTGGCTCTCTGTAATTCATATCTTTATTGACGAACCACAAACAAAAGGAAGGATAAACATTTGAAGTTCTCACCCTGTGTACCTATAGTAAAAGCTAAGTTTTAAGTATTAGGAGGCCCGCCTCGGCCTCGCACTGGTGCAATACTGTTATAAATGTTCTCCACTATTAAATATGTAGATGTTTAATACATATATAAACCTTTCTGTTCAAAAATCCGTTGTGTAGTTTTAAGGGTTCAGGCTTATGCTTAATATTGGCATATGCTTAATGGAGGCATTTCTTCTCAGAGTAGTCAGATAGGAAATGCCGGCTTCATCTAGTTTTTCACACATAAATTGACGTGTAAAAGTGCCGTTTTATGGCCTATTTGCAAAGATAAATTCATTGTTTCATTGTTTCAATAGTAAGGTACATAGGGGACAGAGAAAGCGACTTAGTTTTATACTACATATATAGTGATAATGTTTTCTGTATCTCTGTTCCAGGTGGTTTAGCCAAGGCACAAACCCATACACTAAACAAGAGGACTGGCTGTACAACGGAGGGTATTGGGACCGCAACTACCAACACCTGAAGGATGTAGACATTTTCTAATCACATTCATAATATATCTGCCCATACTCTCAACGTACAAAACTTGATGACTGGAAACACATAGAAAAAAATATAATAAAAAATTTGCAAAAGAGTTATTTATTACCTATACTTATAGTTTCTTTTAGGAATTAACTAATAATAATAGTCACTATTTATCTTTTACAATATAAGCTTAATTGTATGTTTTTGTGCCAAAGATTTCTTTAGTTTTTTTTTTATTATTTTGACGTCTGATCTCGAGTGTAGGACGAGGCTTTGCTTTTCGTGACAGGCGTCGCCATTTTTAAAATATTCTTATTATTTGGATAGTAAAATATCCTAAATATTGAGTAGAACAATGACAAATGTATGTTTAATTTTAAAATTGACATTGAAATTCTCGGATTACTTAATTGTTTTTAATATATAATAATAATAGTTTAATATTGTTGTCTAAAAAGTTCGAATAACTACATATAATTTGAAATTAAAATCGCTTTAGTATAAAAAATAATATTTATTAATTTTATGAACATTAATATTGGTGTGGTAAGTTGACAAAATTTAAATGTAAATAAGAATATTACCAAGACACGATGGATTTGGAATTTAATTTAAATGAAATGAATTGTAAATAGGTTTATATCGTAGTGGACCAGAAAGGGATGGTGTTATCAAAAAATATGAATATTTTCGGCGTGAAGTTATATCTAGGTAAGGAATGTAAACTAGGATAGGTATTGGGGGTAATTGGGGCAAGACATTTACGTATTCTATAAAGCCACAGTTATTTAGAGCTTGTAACCCCAAGCTGACACCGGTGTCTTCTCTCGATTATTTCTTTGCTTAGAGATTAAATAAAATAATAATTTGTGATTTGTTGACAAGATTGATTTCATCGTGATTAATTTTATTTATAAATTTGTTTCGCGCTGACCTTTAATTATAAGTTTTTCTGGTATTTTATCGCATTTACCCAGAGTTTAATTTTCCTTCTATCTCTGTTCCGCCAAGGGCTGGATAAATGAATTGATGATGTCCCTCGTAAATACCTAAAATTCATCAATGATGATGACGAATAAGGTAAGTGTGACTGGTGTAAAATGTATTGAAAACGGTTAATGTTTCATTATATTATCTTGCTCTCAATATCCTCAATCACAAAGTCGTGAACAGAAAACAAATAAGCATTTAATGTTTTAATTAAATAGAACTGTGTAAATGTAACCGCATAACTACAAAATTAGTAACCCGTTTTTTTTCTTTTATTTTATGTAAGTAAATATTAAATTTATCAATAATTCGTTAAGTACCTATACAAATGTAAGTACCAGAATTCTAGCTTGGTTTGCGATACACGATAGTAATTAATAATTTATTTAGCAAGCATTTAGTATTTGATTTATTTTTTCGAGAATATTCAAAAGAGGAGTCAATTATTAGTAAAATTGCTGTAGAAGAAAGATATAGACCTACATATACCAATCTTTATAATAACATTCATGTCTAGCAGTAGGTCTTGTATTACCGTAGCTGTTGAAGCTTGTATGTGTAAAGATGTAATTGTAAACTTAATATTAGCGAGATATGGCAGACGGAGCCTCGTTGTTTTCGATGTACATTGCTCATTTTATTCTGTTTGCACGGGCGATAACGCGACCTAATGCTGTAATGTACGACAAACGTAAACGTGCTGCTTTTTCCACGCTAACGAGCTCTAAGGGCCCTTTTCACATATAACCCGACAAAGTTATGTGGTATGGAGTTCATACAAATTAAGTTCTAAATTCAAATTTATTTGAAACATACTGGTAAGACAGACATTGTGAAAGAGACCCTAAATATTTTGACGTTAGGTACATACTAGATTTACAATTACATTGTATCTTTGTAGGTAAGTATCTAATAATATGTATATTTACATAAGTATTGCTGTATAATTTTATAGAAAAAATAATAATTTTATAAATTATATATGTATACTTAAGCGTGTTTATTAAATTCAACAGAAATTTGAATAATAAAAAGAATTTTAATTTAATATAATTTATAACTTAAAAAAATATGCGTATATTATTCATGCTAAAATACATTTTATTTAATTATAAGAAGCGTAAATATAAGTATTGTTTGTATAATTATAATTACTATTATTTTTGTTGTATTTTGTATACGATTACTCGAATCGTATTGGGTATACATCGGACATTCCATAAAGTAGCTATTAGACTATGTCTTAAACATAACTAGGTATATGTCGTAAATAAAATAAAAAAGTATATAATTAATAAAATAATTAAATTATAATTGTTATCGATAAATTGAGCATTTGATGCTTAAAAATAAATTGATATTATTGAATAATTATTTTGCGATATGCCTTTGATTAGGAATTCATTTATTGTTGTTTGAGATTGGAGTATAGTATGAATAATATTAGTACCTAAGTATTTTTGTATTATATCTTTCGTTGGACATTAATAATTATTAGTTTAAAGCCACGCTCGTTGGCAACTCGATGTCTACTGCGTCGTTTATCTTAGTAAGATGCCATGTATTTTTATTATTCTTAGGTTTTTTCCTTTATATAATTAAATAAGTACGGTGTTTATCATACAATGTTTTTATTTTTGAATAGAGACTATCTTAGGACATAATAAATTTACTGAAACTTGCGACTAACTCACATGAATTAACTGAGAAAAACTCTACTGACACTTTATTTTAAAATTATTTTTTCCTTTAATGTTTTTTTTTTCATTTTACTGTGATTTCATGTTTTTTTAAACTATATTGCTGCGCCCTAACAGGGTCCATAAATGTACTGAAGCTTTAAGCCTTGTATACCTACCACCTATAAAACACTTTGTGGAATGCAAATAAAATGATATAGTATGACTGAGTTGGCTGCACGACGTCGACGTAACGCGCACGCTGCTCATAAATAAGATTCCCGGCGTGACTTGAAATTAGTAGAGCTGAAAGCTCTATTTGACTTTTACTCTGTTATTTAATGTGAGTAATTCGTTAGTTCTAGTAAATTTAAAAATGTAATTATTTAGTTAAATATTAGAAATATGTTGTGAAGCTATAGGAGCGTATCGATTTTAAATTCTGTACGCAAAATGAACTAAGTAGTCAAAATTGAATGCGCACATTTGTATTTTGTTTGCAAAAAAGTTAAGTATATCTAAAGATATAATTATATTTATATTGAGCAATAATTACACAATATAGTTTATGTAATTTATTTATTACTTATTGTAATGTAATCAAATATAATTACTTAGCTGATAAGTAAATATTGTAAACGTTAATCATTCCATTTTATGTAGGTTTTTTTTAATATGCTTAAGGTCCCTTCCATTTCAGAAAGTGAAGATTTTTCGTAACACCAGCTTTCAAATATAAATAAGTTATAGAACACTGGTTCCAAACTTCCAAAAAAAAATATTCTTATTATTTTATAAGCTGATGTGTTTTGCTTTATTAGTCCTATTAATAAGTTTAGTTAATGTCGTTCCAAAAATGGTGAATATACGCCAAAATGTCTGTAGTAGGTATTTAAATATGTGTATGTAGCTGAAACTGTACATTTTAAATGTGAATAATCAAAAATAAACTCGAATAAATAGATTGAGAATTTATTAAGTGCAGTTTTATTTTATTATATTGTTCACATTTTTGTTTCCATGTACCTACAACACCGCCAACGCATCTTGGCGAGTCTGAAGTTAGCGGATTAGCTGCGCAGTACACAATTTTGTTCCTAAAAGATCCATTGTACTGGGGTGACCCCACCCAAAAATGAGCACAGCATAAATACATAATAACATCTTGCGCCTAAAATAAAGTTGTAAAATACTGCCTGGATCTATTGAGTATACCTAGTTTCTCTGAGGCTAACTTAGCCTTACCCTTGATGGCCGCGGAACTAGACTACGCTCGATATGTCGACACCAAATATCCTAATATCGGCCAAGGCTGTTAGGGTGTGCTTTGCAATGGAGCTAGAGCAAAAGCAGAAAACTGGACTATTAGATTAACATCTCATTTCAGTTGTTAATACATGGATAAGTACAAGGATCAATTAAAGAAAAGAATACTGCCTCACAAAATGAATGCAGTTGCTAAAATTATGTGTTCTGTCATTTACTAGATGTCTAATGTTCAACATCGCTACAGAAATCAAGATTATCAAGCAGATGGCAGTTAACCCATGAATGACTATAATCTGGCTATAATGCTTGCTAGCCTGAATAATGGCTGACTATTGACTAAAATTGAAAACTTATTTTAATCCGAAATCTGTGGAATTAGATCAAATGTGTACAGTCTGTAGAAAATCATAATACACCAACGAAGTTTATAGATTGTTCCTTTTCTATAAACTCATGAACAGTAGTACCTACATCTACTGGTCATAAGTTTTAGTACTTACCATAATAGATCATAGTTTTCTGAAATATGTATGTGTAGTATATACCTACATTATGTGAACTAGAATTATTTGTGAAGTTACTGTCAAGGACAGAGTTGGGTTCAGATATAAAGTATTTGGTTTGTTGATTAATTTCAAAGATTTTAACAGTTCTAATGGATTGTTTTACCAAACCATATGTCGGTCGGCCACCGCCTGAACGGCTACCGCTTGAATGTTGTAACGCGTAGCCAGGCCGCTGTTTTCGAGGACCGTTGAATTTAATATTACGAATAAGGTCCTGCCGCTCATGCTGCTAACAGATTGCCAATAACGGACAGAAATCAAAACTTTGAAGCACAATTCTAATCCTTAGGGTATTTTTGGACCTGCAGTAAGCTTTAGACACAATTAAAATAGACCTTCTCTTCTAAATTTGGAATAAAAGAGGAATACGAGGAACTGGTGTAGATTGGTTTATTAGTTCTGTACTTGTACCTATTAAACTACAAGAAAATGGTCACAGTATGCGAATTTACAAGCGACCTGCTTCCCATTGACTTTGGGATTCCACGGGTAGTATACTTTACCCAAATTTATTATCTTTTTTACAATGACTCTTTGGTTATTTATTTTATGGGCGAACTTATAACATCCAAAAAAGCACTGAAAAACAATGTTGATAAAAAAAAATTCATTCGGTATTACGAAACAAATTCGAATGAGCAACCTCAACAAAACGGTTTTAGAACAACCACAGCGTTTTTTCACCGTGAGGTTATGTAGTAGGGTTATTGATGGCCTTATATCATTCTCCATTCCTATTCAATCTCCAAAACTCTTGCAGCTAATAACTCACAATTGCTTACAATCAGGTAATCAGTGTGCTAATTTGCCATATCAAAATAAAATACAAACTTACACATACTTACCAAGGCTAACGAACACTCATCACTCACAAGTCGTATTAAAAATGTAAATTCAAAAATATAGGTAATAATAAAATATAGTAGATTTTAATGTAATTAATATGAAAATAAAACAACACAAGTATACAGGGTGTAAGGGACAGCCCTCCACAAATTAACAGGGTGCATTCAGCTCCTTATTCTGAATCATATTCCAGTGAAAATTCTTTCAGGAAAATTTTCATTTTTTTTTTCGTTTTTTCAGTTCCTACACCTCTATTTCAATGTATAATTACATTCTATGTATGAAGAATAACATTAATGTAAATAACACAGCTAAAACAAAAAAATACGCAATGGTTGTGTGAATTCTCTAAAGAACTACGCATGAAATCAGCTGTTCAATTTCTACCTAGCGCGAGTCGTTTGAACTCACCGCACCGCGGTCACGGCGCATCGGCTCGGCGCCCCACCGCGCCGATCGCCGCGCGCCGTAGGTATAATACCTACGATCCCGTCCAACGTACAGAATAGCTGCGTCCCTTTCTATCGCCCCGCCTCCGCGTCTCCCCGTCTCCCCGATTCTTTGCACAATGTTTGCCCGATTGAACCAGTGTTGCCAATTTTTAACTTTTGTTACCTCAGGTAGTAAACGAAAATGTTAGAACTAGCGAAATTTATCTAAAACTTGAGAACTCCTTTGCATTCATAATTACGTTGATGAGATTTTCATTAATCAATTAATGAAAATCTTATCGCGCACATAAATTGAATAAGAAATAAATAAAGATTAGTCTAGTTTTAATTTTAAAGCATTTACAAATACTACCTAATTTATTAATTGATTGTTCTTTTTAAGCGATTACTGGCTAGTTTTTAAACTACTTACAGATTTTTACATGGCTTCACAATAGCCATGAATTGATAGTCGAGCCAGAAATTAAACACAATCTCCCTGGAATGGAAGCACAGCTTTCTATCACACTGCACTTTTATTATTCTAAATTAACTAAACAATGAAATTAGAATTAAATTGATTTAATCAATTCATTTCTCTACAAAAAATAACAGAATGATAAATTACGACCATGCATAATTTTTTATTTTTTACCCCGAAATTTTGTAATTTTCGTGTAATTGGCAACAACAGATTTATGTCTGTGTGTGTCTCATCACATGCAGTCGCCATTGTGCCTTGTTGCGATGTTATTGTTTGTGTACCGCGAGCGTGTGTCGGCACGGATCGCTCGCGCATTCGGCTTAAAAGTTTTGTTATAAAGTAGTGTTGTTAAGTTTTATTAGTTATGTAGTGTGTGAAGTGTAGTGAAGTTTTGTTGTAGAAATTGTGCGAAATTACTATCTAGGTACGTTTAGCGCGCGTGATTATGGGGAGATGATAATGTGTTGTAGTAGTGTAGGTATCCTGACCGTCGCCATCCATCAGACTCCAGGATAATTACTGGTGACTATCAACGCTTGCTAGAAAACCAGCCCATTGTTCCCAGACAAAAAGGCGCCGGAAGACCAATACCTACGTGGATTTTGGAATTCGTTCGCTAACGTAACGAGACGCTACCACTTATTAGTGCTTTCCTATTTAAACGTAGTTTAGGTAGGTTTGGACCGCAACCGTGGCCAGCACGATCCCCAGACCTAACCCATTTGGAGTTTGGACCCCTTTTTGTGGGGTTACGTAAAAGAAAAAGTGTTTGTGAGTGCGTGTGCAAGTGAGTACGAAATGCGAGACCGCATCACAAATGCTTTCCAGAGCCGGAAACCGGAGCGATTCTAAGGTACCTACGCATTTTTCTTTTTTTATCATTTATCAGTTACCATGTTATGATTGTTAGATTTTCTTTTGTTAGTAATGCGGCTATCTTTTAAATAATAATTTATTGTTATTAAAACGTGGCGCGAGCGCGATTATTAAATTGTCTTTTGTAAGTAATGCGGCTATCTTGTAAATAATAATTTATTGTTATTAAAACGTGGCGCGAGCGCGACCGTTTGAGTCCGAAAGGTAAGGTCGCGGCGCTGCCCATAGTGTAAAGTAATAATACTAAAAGCGCTGCCGTTCGCTGCGTGCGTTTGCGGTGGTAGCGATACATTGCGTGTAAGGTAATGAAACAAATCGGTTTAATTGGATTCCCATAACGTTCCTGAAATAATTTCATGTACCGGTCAACTTAAGACGATATACTGAATCCACCCTATCAGTTTGCGGAAGGCTGTCCCTTACACCCTGTATATTTTTTTCTATGTATTCAATAGAATATTTACGAGTAACATTACCGCAGACAGATCACTTCTTAACCTTAATCTAAGTGAAAAACATGATTTACATAGATACACCGAAGCAACTGCAAATAAGAATAGGTACTTACAAAAAATACAAATAAGTAACGGTCAACTTTAAAAAAATACAACAGACATTTCATCAATATATCAATTTTGTGTAACATTTTATAATTATATATCTATATATGTATAATTTTATAAATTGATTTTATTGATTTTATAAAAAAAATATACTTACATAGAAAGCTACATAACTAACCAGTATAGCATGATCTCACTATGTTTGATTTTTCTTAGAATCAGCGTTCAAATTAAACTGGTTATTGAGCTTGTTTTATAGGCGATAATTAATGCGTCTTTAAAATTGACGATCCATATCAAAGAAAATAAAAATATGTATACGAAAATATATAATATCATGTTTTAAATTCACTTCAGGTAATTTACTAAGGATGGCACTTAAAACATTTTGGTAAACATAAAATTAATATCTAATTCTACTGCATTAAGAAACAATATCTAATTTATTTAGTTATTCTTAAACTCTGAATAGTATAAGTTTATTAAAAAAATACCTCTTCGTATTTCATGTCATTAAAAATATATTTTCACAAAATTACTCTTGAATAATAATAATTGTAACAATGAAAACATTTAATAACACGATATTATTTATTATATAATATAAAATTAAACATACATTTTATATAAGATATTACAGATATACTAGTTCATAGAATAGTATACGTAGTATATATATGTATATTATATGTATGTAAATGAATAATTGACTTCTTTTTCAAAAGGCAAGACTATAAAAAATAAATTCACTCACACTATTAAAATCTAGGCACTGCTTATCACACAATCTGACTTTTACAGTTAAATATTATCCTAAAACTAATCTAAAAATGTTACCTCTACAAAAAATTAAGATTTTTTCAGTACATAGGGTCTAATCGGTAATTTCAATGACATTTTTATAAATAATTAAAAATATTTTTTGATTATTCAATAATCTCTTATAAATGAATTGTAAAAGCAAAAATACATTTTTATATTTAAATCTTCAATTTTTAAGATTGCTTGATAATAACATAATTATATCTGTATGTACTTATACTTAGTTAAATTATAAATCATTTAGATGAAATCTAATTTATTATTGAATATTGTTATAAACAAATATTTTTTAATTTACTTTTTATGTGTACTTATGAAATTACCCAATAAACCACAATTATCATATAAAAACATGTAATCAAAAATGTTCCAGCCGAATAAGTTTTTCTAATTCTTAATTTATAATTCAGCTCAAAGAACTTTTAAGTTACATAATGTTTAATCTGAATTGTTAATTAGTGGATCCATTTTCGCCATTTACCCAATTCGGCAAAAATACCATGTTTCAAGTAATACTTATAGCAACTGTTTAAATCGAAAACCATTTTTTTTATATTTGAATATTCTAGAAACTGGTAGTTGCCGTTGTTTGCTCAACAGATGGCGCTGGATGATGTAGGCCACGAGACCTCTTCCAATAAAACTTAGATCGTGTTTAATTATTATTATTCGACGAATAATTTTTCATTGCTAGATTTATTACAAAATCCCGTTTAATTATTTGTAGGCTGTAAAGGTTGGTATCGAATGTCGAATTTTCTCATTTATCAAAAACTTTAGACGTAACCAAAGGGTTTTATTTTGTTAGGTTTTTTAAATTTTTTTTACAAAAAAAATATAGCTTATTTTCGTCATCACGTCATTGACGACATTAAATTTATAGTAGGTACTAATAAAACCATTGATAATTAAAAAGTTTTATGTACCTACTTCTTTTAATGTAAAGTATCTAGATTTTTGGTCCATACGACTTGAGCCTATACTTGCGTTACTCTGTTTAGGTCACTATGTCCCAGTGCTAACATATTATTACAAATAACATAGTTATGTGTGGGCTTCCAAGCCGGAATCTAAGAAGTCCTTTAGATATAGTGGTACTTGTTTCGGGAAAACTCTGCAAATCTGAAAAAGAGGAAAGATGTTTTTACTAATTATTTTATACTGTTTTTAATTTCAGATAATGTGGCACACTGGATTAATGTGTACATGCCAAGTTTAAGCTCATTTAATATATAAATTTCCAATTTTGAAAAACTCCTAATTACAACGTCAACAGTTCTGGCACGGCATTGCGCTGGGGGTACACTCGGTAATTAATATTGCATATGATTCCTAAAAAAACTGAACAAAAAGTGAGTTTATCGATACCACATAATGTCTTACTAGTCCTTGAAGTATTGATTGCTTGAAGGACTCAATTGAATAAAATATAAACTGTTACTAAAATAAACAAAATCCATCCTCAATCATCCTGATCTTCGTCAACCATTCTCTTTGCAATATCTTTATAAACTGGACCAGCGGATATCACTTAGAACCTATCCAAACTGTAATGCTATGTTACCACCGTCGCGTTAGTATAGATAAAATAATTTAGGTATGTATACAACCATCTTCGGCTATAACAAACAGGTTTCAATCAAAACTAGTTTCAATGCAAGCAATAATTATAGCTCGGTGTAGGTTATTACAGGACAAATGGTATAAAGGCCTTCGATGTAATAATATATTAAGTTGGATATTTTTAGATCAAGGTTGAGTACCAGTCTAGCCGACTCATTTGTGCCGAAGCATGGCTCTTTCTCACTTAGAGTATTGTGTCTCGCCGTGTGAGTGAGGTTACCGGATGCCCAATTCTTCCTTTCCCCGAATCACGCTATAGCCCCTAAATCTCCAAATATCTAATTTCTAAGAGGACGGCGCTGAATGCTTACCATCAGGTTAAAAAAAGAGTAGTTTGGCACATGTATCCAACTTACCAGATTAATATAATAGAGTGAGCTAGGAATGGTGATTTCATTGTAGTTCCTCCTGACGGCGTCCACGATCTGGTCGGAAGCCTCCTGCGGCGTCAGGATCTTCATCAGTGAAGGGAACTTGATCTTTGGGTTCTTGCACAGCCCCGTGTCCACAATGTAAGGACAGATCACTGTGAATTTAATCTGAAAAAAAAAATGAGGTTTATATATTCTTTTATAGAAACGTGGCCTCACACTGTGTTTTCTCCAGTGTCATGGGTGTGGTTACAAAAATTCAATTTTACATACAAATGACATCCTGATCCGAAACAACAATTTGTGGATCACACAAAGACTAGTTCCGTACGGGAATCAAACCCGCGACACGTTGCACGGCAGCCAGTTGCCCAGTCACCGCGTCAACCGTGCAATCTTATTTGTGTTTTTTGGTATGTTGTTTTATAGATGGTTTTTTTAAGCAGTGGAGTAGCTAATCGGTATGCCTAGAGATGAGGGAGTGCCAGAATGTTACTGACTAAAAACCACTCGGTTCCTTCTCCTGCACCTGGCCGGAGCCGCGTGTAGATAAGGTTTAGTAGAATGTCTTTGTTTTATGTTAAAAAACACACAAGCTTCACAAGCACACTAAAATTATTAATATCGGACTCTTGAAAACTTTTAACAATTAGCTAAATATACTAAGATGTTTGGAGTTCTAGACTTATAAGTACCTATAGTGTTTATCTAGTTCTAAAGTATGGTAACACTTACACCGCTGTAGTCTTTAGTCTTGTCCTCTCTGAGTTCTTCATGAAGGGCCTCCATGAGCCCTCTGACGGCGAACTTGGTAGCGCAGTATGGGACGAGGTTACGGAGGCCCACGACTCCAGCCATCGACGACATGGCGACGATGTGGCCGTGGTTGCGCTCCATCATTGATGGAAGGAAGGTTTGGAGAAGCTGGAGAATTTAGATGGTGATATATGTATAATTAGTAAACAAATGACTCTTTTTAATAATACTGGATCTAAAAATTTGGTTAAGAACTTTTTCTTATTAAATTAGGTTAAGAAAAAACTTTTTTTTCTTTTCATAGAATGGCATAGATGGCGTTGTTCAAGTTTATTTTTATTTAATGATGAAATAGCTGAACCTTTTGCACCTATTAAGATTTTGCAATCTTAAATGGTTAATCTATTAGACTTAAATTTCCGACCTTGTGTTTGTCTAGGGAAACCTATCTACATACCAAATTTCAGACAAATCCGTCCAGCCATCACATCCATACATTCTCATACTTTTTCTGTTATGTAAGATATTTAGTTTGTTTAGTACTTACCCATAAATGAGCTATGATGTTAACTTCAAATGAGGTGCGGATCTCCTTTTCAGAGGTCTGCAGCAGCGGCTTGCAAGGCATGATACCAGCGTTGTTCACCAGCATCGTGACCTCACCGACCTCGCGACGGATCTTTTCTGCTAAAACTGCTATTGCTTCGCGGTCCGTGACGTCACATCTGTAGATTTTGAATTTAAATTTAGAACTGCTCTTCTATTCATTCATTTATATATTTGTACACCACACAAAGAACACAATAATTGACACAGTACGGAGAACGTTGGGATAGAGTCGTAAAATGGTGTCCGAAAGGGTTGTCTAGTGTTTTTAGATTCTGTAGTAAACTAGGAACCCTTATAGTTTCGCCACGTCTGTCGGTCTGTCTATCAGTCTGTCCGTCCGCGAATAATCTCGGAGACCGTTAGCACTAAAAAGATGAAATTTGGCACCAATATGTACACCAATATCTATATCACAGCAACAAAGTGGTAAAATAAAAAGTGGAAGAAATATTTTATTAGAATTTCCCTCCCCCCCTACACTTAATGTAGGTAGGGTTTTTTATTATTTTAACCCATACCTACGTGTGATATGTTGTTGGATAGGTTTTTCATAATACATAGCGGTTTCCTAACACAATTTCTTGATAACGTTAGTAGTATCGGAGATAATAGCTTGAAAAGTTAAAAAAATGCGTCCCGAGCGTGCGTTATTTTGTGATTTAACAGGAAATGCAAACGTGTTTTTAACTTTATTTGTATATTTTACGATTATGAATGTATGTTTTTTCAAATTAAAAAGAATTACATACTAAAATCCGTTGACGTTATCCGAAATTACCATCAAAAACTTAAGTACATAACCCGTCTAGTTTGTATAAATTAGTAACCCAACTCCCTAAAAGATGGCGCTGTACGATATTTGCTTAGGTACGCTGAATGGCGGTTAAAAATTTACAATAACTCTTAAGTGGGGACACATAATGTGGCAGACGGGAAACTACAAAACTTTACACTGAGCATAGCTCGCAACGCTCTTGGCTGGCTTTAAAAAAATATATCTTAATACATTCGTAGTTTACACAGTACGCGATTAACTATTTGATTCATGAATATTTAACTTTATATTAGCTGCTATTTCTTTAAAGTATCTATGTTTAGTTATTCTTTTTAAGTACATCAAATACCAACACGTTTTATGAGATTTCAAACATTAGCGTGACTGTTTATCCTTCTTATTTACATTTGCAAATTAAGTTATGATTATTGATAATAAAATCGCATGAGCATCTCTTGCCAATGGCCTTATGACCTTCAAGTACGCAGTGATGCATAGCATTCATCTATTTACATTTGTCTTGATAAATGACTACTTATTTATTTTTTCAATTTATTTATGTCTATAAAAGCCTGTTCGTATACCTATAAAATCAAATAAAATTCATAAAAAATGTGCGAAGTAAATTCTGCACTTTTATACTAATTTTGACGCGATGCGATGCGAAAATGAATCGGCACGAATTTTATTTTGATGTGTGCACAGACACTTAGATTTAATAGCAAAAAATATGTATCTAGGTACATATTTATCAAATCCGGGGGGGACTCAAAATCTAAAAAAGCGATAAAACACGATTCATGCATAGTGATGTCGACATACTCGTATATATAGGTACACTAGCTTTTGCCCACGACTCCTTTCGCGTGGAATAGTGACTTAATGCAGATTTTTGGTATAAAAACTCATATGTCCATTCCGGAGTTCCAAACTAGACATAGTTTACCGCGTACCAAATTTCATAGAAATCGGTTCTGTAGTTTAGGAGTGAAGAAAAAGCAGACAGACAGATAGAGTTACTTTCGCATTTAAAATATTAGTTAGGATAGTATAATGTAGGTATATTTTTACCTATATCATAAATGTAATGGTAAAAAACTTTATAATCTTATGCGTTGTTTTTATTGAGTATTTATTTATAGAAGTTCTTAAAAAAGCCACTTAATAAGCAATAAAAATAGGTTTATAATTTTAATTATTGTTTATACCGGACTATGCCAATGCCATATTTTGTAAGCAATTAACACATACCTACCAGTTAAATTACTTAGGTACTTATAAAACTGGCGTTTTATTGAACCATTCATGATCTAAACTCTAATTGGGTACTTTATCGAAATTAAACTATTTCGAATTTGTCAATGCAATAAAATATTAAAAACAATATCTAATAAAACTATCATTCTTTGATTTTGCGAAAACCTTAATATCGGAGTCATTTTTTTGTATTTTCAAACTAATTTTAAAGAAATAAGTATGCTATTTGACGCAATAAATACTATTGACGAGTCAACAAATAATACCGGACAAAACTAAAAGAAAAAAAAATCGATTTCGACAACAATACAAAAAAATATTGAATTTGACTAGTTACTTTAGTACTCAGTTCAATAGAAAGCAATATAATTATACTAACTCATATCGATAAGCCTTCCCCTTCTGTTCCTTGATCAGGTCCACTGTCTCCTGGTTGCCTGTAGGGTTGATGTCCACACAGACGATGATGCCGCCCAGCTTGGCGAATCTGAGCGCCGTCTCCCGACCCATACCGTGACCTGCACCAGTTATCTGGAATATCAAGTAGTGAGGGTTTTAAATCATCTACAGATGGTTTAATATCTTAAGGGGGATCATCGATAGTTCTCAAACAAATGGGACGGTTGAAGCGATGGCTGAGCAGCTGGCTGCCGCGCAACGTGTCGCGGGATCGTTTTCAACACGGAACAACTCTTTGTGTGATCCACAAATTATTGTTCCGGGTCTAGGTGTCATGTGTATGTGTGAAATTGTATATTTTTAAAGGCATCTACGACACAAGAGAAAATCCTAATGTGGGTTAAATTTAAAAAAAAAATCGTGTATTAAAATTTCTGTGCTCAGCTATGAGATACTTCCATAGCTAATAAGTAATAGATAATGTTGATAAAAATAAATAATTACTCAATATATTTGTTGCATTCCACAATGTGAACTTGGGTGGTAGGGTACATAAGGATGTGCATACATTAGTTTAGGATAGCATTATAGGCCCTGTCAGGCACAACGAAAATAAAAATTAGGACTACATATTATAAATATTTGATTACAATTTTTAGTTCTTTTTAGGTAGCCTTATAAGTTATTAATAAGTACTCCTATATATATTTTTAATTATACATGTGTATTATTATCATTGGTATTATAAACATAATTAGTGTTTTTTCAACATTTGTATACAGTGACCATTTCGGGCAAAAACGCTTTGAACGGGTTTTTATTCGCATAGCATAAAATAAATTTCTAGAATAATCATTTTTTTGTACCTACCTATATTTTTAGATTGTTGAATGTACTAGACTTGTCTAGTATAATCTAGCTGGCAATGTCTTCAAGTGTATTTCCTTATAGAACAGGTTATTTTTATGTGATAGGTATCAAGCACACAAGTAGACCGATCATATTATGATGTAATGTAATCAGAGCCGTCTATAGACGCTCGCAATATCAGAAGAGTTACGAATACCTAGCCAGCCTTTTGAGAGTAAGGGATTTGAGAAATGGTGATAGTATCACTTTTTTATGTCATAGGTCGACAAGATAACCTGATGGTAAGCAATCAGCGCCTCCCGCCGGACATTCCCAATACCAAAGGAATAACTACAAGTGTGTTGTCGGCCTCCTGTGGGTTATTTCGGATTTAAGGATAGGGGCATTGAGGATGGAGACCGGTTTATTTGAGGCCAGTCGAACTGACTCATTCGTGTAGTAGCATGGCTCTTCCATTTTTTATGGTCGGCAAACGAGTAGACGTATTCCCTGAAGGTAAGCAATCAGCGCCGCCCATAGACACCAACAACACCAAAGGAGTTACGAGTGCGTTGCCGCCCTCTTAGGGGTAAGGGTTTCGTATATTTAAGGATTGGGAAGGGATGAGGGGAGATAAAGGGATTGGGCTTCCGGTAACCTCACTCACACGGCGAAACACAACGTTGTGGCTTATTTCACGCCGGTTTTCTGTGAGGCCGTGGTATCGGTCCGGTCGAGCCGACCCATGCGTGCCGAAGCATGGCTCTCCCACACTTACACTACTTCCATACTAGAAATTCAAGCAATCTTCAACAAAATATAGAAGACTCACCAGTATGATCTCCCCCTTGACACTCTTGGGCTCTGGCGGTACAAAGAACTGGTAGAGGCAGTGGAACCAAGTAAGGGTCATCTTGATGTACAGCACCAGGATCTCCAGGGCCAACGAGATGCCATTGTACACCTTCATTGCTATGCCTTGCTCGTCGGTCCTGAGAAAAATAGATTTAGATTTTAATTTTATTCTAATTAATATGATATTTCTTTGCTTACTTATATGTATTTTAAAAACTTTTTAATAATTCTTAGACTTGTACTAGGTAGACATTAAAGGTACTAGACTTTGAAGATCAGATATCTTTTGCTGCTGTTAAACGACAATTATTATTACAGAATTATTACTATTATTACAGAATCCAATTTGCATGTTTACTTGCAGATTTAATATGTGTATTTATGATTAAGCAAAAAGTGTATAAAATAGTATATTAAACTACCTATGTATAAAAAATAAGCTTTTGCCCGCGACTTTGTTGGCGTAGAATAGTGAATTCCTGCAGCATTTTTGGTATAAAAACTATCCTATGTCCTTTCTCGAGTTCCAAACTATGTCTGTATCAAAATTTACACAAGTAGTTCAGTAGTTTAGGCGTGAAGAAAAGACAGACAGACAGACAGAGTTACTTTCGCATTTATAATATTAGTTTGGAAGTTTGTAATATTAGAGTTTAGGAGCAACGTCTGCCGTACAGTACAGTTATGCAGTTTGATAAAGTAACAATGATTTTTGCGAATAAACGCTTTCTAATTTCATTTTAATATAATAATATCATATTGTATATTGCATGAAATTTTATAAAAGGAGGTTGGATATGTTTTGTTTATCTTTTCTTGTATTTATTTTTCCATTGTAACGCTAGGTGGCGGCATTGTGTGTGCATTCTGAATACGGCGACTGTCATGGCGTTGTAAAATTTTTCTTATATCTTTTATTAAAATAAAACGTTTAAGTTGTGTCAGAAATCTTGTTTATTAACCTGATTCAAATATTGTATTCATCTGATTTGAATTGTATGCTTTAATACGACAAATAAAGTAATTATTTTTGAATCTGCTTCCACAAAGGAAATTACTAAATGAATTGAATGATTTATATTTCAATCCCGTTGTGATTTTAAAACAAATATAATTATACCTACCTATATATGCATGTATAATGTTACGTGCCTGACGTCACGTTCCTGACTATGCGGGCTTGAGTTACGGGATTGGATGAAATGAAACACTAATGCCGGTTTTCAGACTTTCTATTGCACTTAAGTTACAGCGTCCACGGAGTTAAGTCATCGGCGTTCCTCTCCAGCAGAGTCCGGCCGACTGACACAACTTTGCCGTTCACGTTGACTTAACTCACTTAAGTGACTGCACTTCACTATTTCACTGCACTTCACTATTTCACTCACTTTTCTTCTTTTTCACTTCTTCCTTTTCTTCCGAATCGCTTTAGACTTAGAACTCAACTGCCAGCGGTGAGCCGCAGTTCCGCTTATATACCCCTGGTTCAGGTTCTGGAACATTCAATTTCGTTATTCTTTTTGATCGTCATGACTCCAGAACCTTCCAATAATTTCGTTACTCATTTTTATTTATTCTCCTTCTCGCTCTTTAATTTTTCATTTCTTTCACACAAATAATTCCAGAAAGTTCCACAAAATTTCTATCAACTAAAAAACTTCAAGTTTACGGCGGGACTCGAACTCGGGGTCTCTGTGGTGTAATCCACACGCCTTACCGATTACACCAACTCGTGTTGACAATTCACGACGAAATTTACAATCTCTAGGCAACGTTTGACAACCATCCATTGACGTCATGATGTCAAAGAGTTTGAACCACTTTTCCGTCACACTGCCCCCCTCTTAGATTCGCTCGTCCCGAGCATCGTTGCTGCCGTAATACCTCGCCAACCTGTCTATATGGACAACTTTCAAAGGGCTCCTTGAAGACTTCCGAATTCTGTAAGTAATGTCATTGATCTTCGTGACTATCTCATAAGGGCCTTCCCAACTCGGTTGCAGCTTCGGAGATTTTCCCTTCCTTCTGACTGGATTATGAAGCCAGACCAATGACCCCTCTTCAAACCCAACAGAATTGGCTCGTCGATCATAGCGCGTTTTTGCGCGATCACTAGCTTGAAGACCGGCCTCCCTGATCTGCTCGTAAATGTCCAACATTTTTGCCCTTAACTCGCTTATGTAATCGCTAAACTCGGTGCGAGTGTCGCCAGGTGGACAGCCCGATACAAGATCTGCCGGTAATCTCAATTCCCTTCCAAAATTTGCAAATGCAGGCGTCTTTGCGGTACTTTCATGTACAGCAGTCCGATAGGCAAGCAAGAAGAGAGGTATGTAAGTGTCCCAATCTCTCTGATGGCTGTCAACCACCTTTGCTAAGTGTCGCTCCAATGTTTGGTTGAAACGTTCGACCATTCCATCTGACTGTGGATGATAAGGGGTCGTTCGAGTCTTATGGATTCCCAAAAGTTTACAAGTTTCCTGAAAAACTTGGGATTCAAAGTTCCGTCCTTGATCACTGTGCATTTCTAAGGGCACTCCGAACCGGGTGAATACCTCGTTTACCAACTTCGTGGCTACAGTTACTGCCTCTTGATTCGGTATGGCAAAGACCTCCGGCCATTTTGTAAAATAATCCATAACCACTAAAACGTAGCGATTGCCCGAATCAGTGATTGGAAATGGTCCAGCGATGTCTAAGGCTATTCTCTCCCAAGGCATACCAACATTGTAGATTTTCATCGCCCCCCTGCTTCTTGTTTGTGGACCCTTGACAGCTGCACAACTAGTGCATTTCCGGCACCAATCTTCGACGTCATATTTGCAATGCAACCAATAAAACCTCTCCTTGATCTTCACCAAAGTCCTCCTAATTCCCAAATGTCCTCCAGAAGATCCATCATGGAACGCTTTTAATACATCTCTTATTTTTGAACGAGGCACCACCAATTGCAAATGCTCGTCCTTGCCGTTTGTTGATTCCCATTTCCTGCACAGAAGTCCGTTATGCAGCGTAAGGCTTTTCCACTGTGCCCATAAACCTTTCGTTACCGCGCTATATTGGGCGACGTCACTCCAACTTGGCTTGTTACCACTTCGTAGCCACTCCAGTATTGGTTTGATATCCGCATCTCTTTCCTGTTCTAATTTCATCGCATCATCTCCCCATGCCTCGTCAACAGTATCAGTCCTTATCACCTTAAGAAAAGCAGTTTCCTTCTTGGCACAATGCTTGCAATCTTCCACGCATGGGCGTCTCGATAATGCATCTGCGTTGCCATGAATTCTTCCTCCGCGATGTTCGATTTCAAAGTCAAATTCCTGAAGTTGTTCCAACCATCTGGCTACTTGGCCTTCGGGATCCTTAAACTGAAGCAGCCATTTCAAAGCAGCGTGATCTGTTCTGATCAAAAATTTCCGTCCCAGTAAATACTTCTTGAAATGGTGCAGAGTTTTGACTACGGCCAGCAATTCCCTTCTGGTCACGCAATAATTCCTCTCCGGCTTGGATAGTGACTTGCTGAAGTAAGCAATAACCTTCTCCTGCTCACCATCGCGTTGTGAAAGGACACCTCCTATTCCGATATTACTGGCGTCCGTATCAACTACGAATATTCCTTTCGCGCTGGGGTATCCGAGAATTGGCGTTTTACAAAGCCGTTCTTTTAGTTCGCGAAAGGCTTGCTCACAATCCTCGTCCCATATAAAGGCACGTTTCTCCTCTGTCAATCGATGCAATGGCTTGGCAATGTCCGAGAATCCTTTCACAAACCGCCGATAATACGAGCATAATCCAAGAAATGCCCGAACTTGCGTTTTGTCTGTAGGTGTTGGCCATTCCTTAACAGCGGCAGTCTTGGCTGGATCAGTCTCAATTCCTCTCTCAGAAATAACATGTCCTAGATAATTCACTTCGCGCTTAAAGAAAGAGCATTTCTTTGGACTCAACTTCAAATTTGCTCCACGCAGCTTTTCGAGTACCCTTTCCAATTTTCTTAGATGATCGTCAAAATCCCGTCCAACAATGATGATGTCATCGAGGTAAACTAGGCAGGTTTCGCCCAGCAGTCCCGCCAGCACCTGTTCCATCAAACGCTCAAAGGTTGCCGGTGCATTGCATAATCCAAATGGCATCACCTTAAATTGCCAGAGTCCCTTCCCAGTTGAGAATGCGGTCTTTTCCTTGTCCTTGGGATCCAAATCCACCTGCCAATAGCCGCTTTTCAGATCGAGCGTTGAAAACCATTTCATGCCACTCAGTGTGTCAAGTGTGTCATCGATTCTTGGTAACGGGTAGCTATCCTTCTTGGTTACATCATTCAATCGTCGATAGTCTACGCAAAACCTCGTTGAACCATCTTTCTTCTTGACAAGCACGACAGGTGAACACCAAGGGCTAGAAGAGGGCTCTATCACGTCATTTTTCCTCATATCGTCAATCATTTCTTCAACCTCTTTCTCACGAGCGAATGGTATGCGTCTGGGCCTTTGACGAATTGGCATTGTATCACCTGTGTTTATTTTATGCTTCACCAAACCAGTTCGGCCAATATCACCATCGCTTCTTGAAAACACATCAGAGAATCGAAGAAGTAAATTTCTAGCTTTCATAGTCTCCACTTTTGTCAGACTTTTGTTTTCGTCTAAGATTTTCGTTACAAAGTCTATTCCCGTACTGTCCTTCTTCACAAGATTTTCCGAGCATTTTCTTATCCAGGCCACTTCTTCCAATACGCCCACAGGCTCTCCTTCTTCAATCGTAATTTTTGAATCACTGAAGTTGAATACCGGAATGCGGTTGACATCAGATGACCCCACGACAGTTCTTGCCGGTAGCCATGAGTTTACGTGTTCCGATTTATCAATCACAGCGCACCTTCGAGGCAAACTTCCTTCCCTCCTCCTAGGTAATGCAATTGGTACCAGAGTCTGTGATTTTGGTGCAAGAACAGTTCTTCTCAAACAGCAAACTTTTCCCAGGGTTCCACCCTTCATCGGAATTTCCTCAGTTCCACATATTAAAACTCCAGATTTTAAGTCGATGTTACACTGGTGCCCTTGCAGGAAGTCAAGTCCCAGGATGCAGTCATCCAGAATTTTGGCCACAATAACCTCATGTCGATAAACACGTTCCCCAA